AGAAGCTCTTTTTAATGGTGGGTGTACTGGCTGGTTTTGTGTCTACTTGACACAAGCTAGTCATCAGAGAGGAAAGAGCCTCAGTTGAGGAAATGCCTCCATCAGAACCAGTTGTAAGGCATTGTTCTCAATTAGTGATTAGTGGAAGAGGGCCCAGCCCATTGTGGGTGGTGCCATCCCTGGGCTGGTGGTCCTGGGTGCTATAAAAAAGCAGGTCGAGCAAGCTAGAGGAAGCAAGCCAGTAAGCAGCACCCCTCCATGGCTCCTGCATCAGCTCCTGCCTCCAGGTTCCTGCTCTGTTTGAGTTCTCGTCCTGACTTCCTTCAGTGGTGAACAACAATGTGGAAGTGTAAGCCAAATAAACCCTTTCCTCCCCAACTTGCTATTTGGTCATGGTGTTTTGTTGCAACAATAGAAACCCTAACTAAGACAGCAGTTAAAAGGAATTTTCTTTTATTGTTGGTTTTGTTTTGGAGATAGGTTTCTCTGTGTGTAGCCCTGGCTGTCCTGGAACTTGCTTTGTAGACCAGGCTGGCCGGGGAACTCAAAGAGCTGCACCTGCCTCTGCCTCCTGAGTGCTGGGAATAAAAGCATGTGTCACCACACCCAGCAAAAGGAAAGTTCTTATGTTTTATCCGGTGAAACACCTGTGTGGGTTCAGATCCGTATGGTTAGGCAGATACCTCATTTTGATGAGGAACATTTTTTTTCCTGGGACCCACGTGGTGGAAGGAGAGAGCCACCAAGCCCTGAAAGTTGTTCTACTTTATTTTATTTTATTTTATTTTATTTTATTTTGAGACAGGGTTTCTCTGTGAAACAGTCCTGGCTGTCCTGGAACTCACTCCATAGACCAGGCTGGCTTTGAATTCACAGAGATCTGCCTGCCTCTGCCTTCCAAGTGCTGGGATTAAATGCATGAGCCAACATTACCTAGTTTCAAGTCCTGAAAGTTTACCTCTGACCTCCACGTGAAAGTCATGGTGTACAGGCAATGTCACTACCATAAATAAATAAATAAATAAATAAATGTAATGGAAGAAGTTTTATGTAAATGTGACAAATGATGCTCAGTTTTGGAATGGCAGAACATGGTACACAACTATCTAAAATTTAGATTCTCAATTCTGTTTATTTGTGACAAGATCTTTCTGGGTAGCTCAGGTTGGCCTTGAACTCAAGGTTGTAGATGCTATTCTGAAATGGATGGCTGTGGTAATCTATTTTAACCTCAGAACAAGCTGCTTTAGCCTCAAAGCAGGCCCCTGCTGCCTTTGAGCAGGACCACAAATTCAAAACCTGGCTGCATGCAACCTAGTGCCTTTTGAAAAGTTCTTTTTAAGGAACCGGCTCGAGCCATCGGAAACTTGAGCCCCTCGTGATCATCCATGCACAGAGTCTCAAGGAGAGACTGACTCAGTTATCAAGCTTGGCTGCAATGTCTGAGCTACCTTGGCAGCCTAGGACTTCTTGTTATTCCTGTGTTCAGAGAGGATGTCTTCCTGCCTCTGAACTCCTGGGCTGAAGTCATCTTCCTGCACATACCACTGTGCTCTCTCTAGTGAGGGGACAGCAAAGAACCCCCTGAGAGTGGCCACTCCACGCTCAGGGGTGAGGACATCTGGAAGAGTCCAGAGCTGAGAAAAAGCAGCATATTGGAGATGGCCAGGGCTAGGGAATCAGGGCATGGAAAAGTCAAGGAGGAATAAGGAGAAGGAGGAGGAGGTGAGAAGGGCCACAAAGTTAGCATGGACTTGGAGATGTATAACAAATTAAACAAGGATTCAGGGAGTGGGCTTTGATATGCAACCATAGGAATATGTCAATGGAGTCACAAGTCCCTTCTTTTATTTATTTATTATTTGTTTGTTTGTTTATTTAATGTGCATTGGTGTTTTGCCTGCATGTATGTCTGTGAGGGTGTTGGATCCCCTGGAACTGTAATTGCAGACAGTTGTGAGCTGCCATGTGGGTGCTGGGAATTGAACCTGGGTCCATCTGGAAGAGTAGCCAGTGCTCTTAACCACTGAGCCATCTCTTCAACCTCCCATGAGTCCCTTCTGCCAGAGGCAAGGGAAATGACCCCTCTTGGCAGATGGGAACACCTTTCCCAAGTTCCTGAAGAATTCTGGCTTTACTTCATTTTAAAAGTAAATTAAGTCAGCAGGCTTGTGGTGGCGCACACTTTTAATCCCAGCACTCAGGAGGCAGAGGCAGGCAGATCTCTGTGAGTTCAAGGCCAGCCTGGTCTACAAAGCGAATTCCAGGACAGCCAGAGCTACACAGAGAAACCCTGTCTTGAAATATCAAAAACAAAAGTAAATTAATGTAGGCTGGCATCCTTACATCTGTAATCCCTGAATTTGGGAGGTAGAAGCAGGAGAACCAAGAGTTCAAAGTCATTCTCAGCTACATAGCAAGTTCAAGGCCAGTCTGTGCTTCAGGAGACCTACCCTAAATAAACAAATAGCCAGGCATGGTATTGTTCACTGGTAGTCTCAACATTGAGAAAGTTGAAGCAGGGGGATCTTAACAAATTTAAACAAACCAAATAAAATAATAGAATTTTGGCACAGTGGCACATACTACTCCTGGCACTTGGAAGAGTGAAGTAAGAAGATGGTGTGTTCCAGGCATCTGAGCCACACACAATTCAGTGGATTGCAGGTGTGCTCTGTCTCCCCTCTGTACAGCTTCCCCTCGCCACTGTTAAGTAAACAGCTAGTTGGGCAGCCATTTGCTGATTCATCAAGGAGGAGGCCAAGTCTTGTCTGATAAGAATGTGGTACCTTTGCAGAGATAATCTCTGGGGTTAGCAAATGCTTTTTTTTTTAGTACAGCCTTCCCTTGGTATCCATGAAGATTGGTTCTAGAACCCCTCTCAAACAACAAAACACATGGATGCTGCAAGTCCTTTACATGCAATAGCAAAGCATTTACACGTAATCTACATCCTTCACTCCTTCCTGCATGTCTCCAGGGACCTACTTTTAAAGCCAATTATAGTGTAAGTGCTAAGCAAGCAGTTTTTGTGTTACACTGTTTAGAGAAAAATGACATGAAAAAGTCTACACAATTCAGGTGTGGTGACCGAAATGCACGTTCTATTGGTAAGTTGTCATGTGCTACTTCAGCTTACTGAAAGGGGACTCTGGAAATGAAGAGGGCCCTCCTCTCAGGGTGCAGCATGTTTATTTCAAATGTTCTCCAAAATATCTTTTTCTTCAGCAGGCTAGCCCCCTAACTCTGACAGGGAGGGAAGTCATCAGCAAAACAGCTGAGTTAAAACATCATGTCCTTTAAGAACAGCTGGAAGGTAAATAATTTCCAACAGACGTTATTGTTGTTTTTCCCATCATATAAAAATACCTGCAGTAGGAACTGGAGGCTGGAAGTTCAGCCATGTGTTTCACAGGCAGCTCATCTATGGAGAGAAATCTTAATTGGGAATTCCAGCTGACTGCCTCAACTTCCCCAGTCAGCTCCTGCTGGATGTTTGTAAGTTACCTTTTACTTTCTCGATTATCTACCTCCACAACCTTGCTGGATGCTGAAAACTATCGAGTCAATGACGTTTCAGTATCTATCTGCTGCTTCTTTCTAGCTGTTACTTGCTGTTTATTCATTTGCTGTAGACGTAATGAACTCAGTCATTTGAAACTGAAAGCACCGTTTCTTGAGACGGCACAGAACAGGTGTATACTCTTAGAATCCTAACACTTGGGGAAGCAGAGGCAGTGATGTGGAAATTTCCATGCCAGTCTGGTTTAAGTAGTAAGACTGTCTCCAAAATGTGTTTTGTTTTGTTTAAATCTAAGAGCATACTAAACCTGCAAGTATTAACCAAGTCATAGTTTCCTAAATCCAGTCTCCACTGATCTTATCTTTGGTCTTGTAGAGAAGCTATTTAAAACAAATTTCCAAATGAATTTTAAGAAACAAGTCTACTCTTGTGTAACCTTATTTGCTCCTGTCTTCAAAAACGGCTGGCCTAAATTCCTGTCAGGTTAGTCACAAACGAGGGATCTACATGCCCATTGTTCTCATCTAGTCCCAAGCTGGTGGACTAGAAGCAAGTCAGCAAAACTGACAAGACCATTTCCGTTAAAGACCAGGTCTCAGGTAGTCTGGGCTGGCCTAAGACTCGGTATGTAGCTGCAGGTGACCTTGAACTTTTGACCCTCTTGCCCCCCTTCTAAGTCCTGTTCTTCTTAAGGACCCACGTTTGATTCCCAGCACCCACACGGCAGCTCACAAATATTGACAAATCCAGTTCCAGGTGATCTGACAGCCTCTTCTGACCTCTTCTGATGCTAGGCACCCACATGGTGTAGACATACATGTAAGCCAAACACCCATATACATAAAATTAAAAAACAAACACACATTCAAAAGGGCTGGGGTCAGAGTTCAGTTTGTAGAGTGTGTGCCGACTTCTATCCCAGCAACACACAGGCATGCTAGCTTATACCTGAGACTCCAGCACTCGGGACAGAGGCAGGATGAGAGTCAAAGTCATTCCAGGCTACAGAACAAGTCTGAGGGCAGCCTAGGACACAGTCCCAAAGACAAAGAACAGAAATATACAATTAAATAGAATCCAGTAGATTTCTAATTGTGCTACCATTGTCACTGTGAACTTTCAACATTTCATCGGCCCGCAAACATGGCCCCTGGTGGTCACTTCCTATCAGTTTTTATTGATTATTTTGTTTTAAAACACTGTGTGTGTATGCACATGCGTGCGGTGCTGGTGGTGGTGGTGGTGGTGGTTGGGCAGTGTGGTCAGAGGAATCACCTTGCTGGAGTTGGTTCTCTTCTTCCACCATGTGGTTTCCAGAGATCCAACTCAGCTCACAGCAAGCACTTTTACTGGCTGAGCCATCTTGCTGCCTCCCCGCCCCACCAACCCTCCACCCTGCAAGTCAGTGTATATTCCTGGCTGTCCTGGAACTTGCTTTGTAGACCAGGCTAGCCTTGAACTCACAAAGATCTGGGTGTGAGCCACCACTGCCTGGCTTGTTTTTATTTACTTATTTATTTTTTAAGATTTTAAAATTTATTATGTATATAGTGTTCTGCCTGTACGTATGTTTGCACACCAGAAGAGGACACCAGATCTCATTATAGATGGTTAAATAATGTGGTTGACTGGGAATTGAACTCAGGACCTCTGGAAGAGCAGTCAGTGCTCTTAACCTCTGAGCCATCTCTCCAGCCCCTTATTTTTTATTTTTAAAGATGAGATTACATTATGTAATCTTGACTGCTTGGAAATAGCTTTGGAGACCAGGTCAGCTTCTAATTTATGGCAATCTTCCTGCCTCAACCTTTTGAGTGTTGGGATTACAGGCCTGTACAAGCAGCTGGGCACATTTATTACTTCTGATCTGACTAGTTACAACTGACTTCTAACTCCTAGTCTCCCATGCTGTCCTTGTCACTTCATCTCAAGAAACACGAGCGGGCTAAATCAGTTCATCTTTTAGCCTAGATTATCTCGATCTTTTTACATTGGGACACAATCGCCATCTACAAAGTTCATACTGACAACTAGACAATCCGGTTACACATATCCCTCATCTTTTAAGTAACTCTATTTTTTTTTTTTGGTGGGGTGGGGGTGGGAAGCATTCACAGCTTATCTTGGACCACAGGTTGGACACGCTTTCATGGAGTCAAGAAAACAAGCATTCCTCAGCACCAACTACATACAGTCCAGGCGCAGGCAGCTTGCCAGGCACTGTGAGTAAAAATGGATTACTATGATAAGATTCCCTTTATCACCACCGTGTCTGGGCACTGAGTTGTCTCTGCCTAGACCCGTCTGTCAGTCCACTCTGTCTTTAAGTTGTTTTCCCAACTTTCAGGACAACCTCCTGGCGGGTGGCTGCGAACCCGAACCCGGCAGTGCTTGTGACCGCTGTCTTGACAGTCTCAAGACAGCTCAACCCGCGGGCTTGAGCGGCGTGAGCACTCCCGGGACGCACAGGTCTGCAGAACCCAGCATCTGCGATGCCATCAGCCTCTCGTCCCACACGGGAGAGCTGGCCGGCGGTGTCTACTTCATTTCCAGGCTACTCCGCACTGGAAACGCCTTGGCGAGGGCGCCTCTGACGTCCAGCAATCTAGGACTCCTGAAAAGAGAGGCAAAGGACAGCGCCGTACACAGGTTGCGCCTGCGCGAACTGACCAGCCGGCGTCCGCGACACCGCTTCCGCTCCGGCTGCCCGAGCCTCGGGCTTCCGGCTCGGCTCCCTGCCCCAGCCCCGCCCCCCACGCCGGCCGTGACGGAAGCGCGCCGGGGTGACCTCACCGTCCAACATGGCGGCGGCGGTAGATTAGGGCCGCGGGTCGAAGCAGCCGCCGCCGCTCCCGGACCCTGCGCGAAGCACCTGCTGCCGCCGCCGCCTCCTCCTTCATCCCTTCCGGGGCCAGGCCGGGGCCAGGTGAGGGGAGTGGGATTCCGGGGAGGTCCTGCTGGGTGGCGAGGCGGTTTTCCCACGGCTGAGGAAGGGGTCTCGAGACCACCGAGCCGACCGCCCGGGGCTGCCCACGCCGTGGGAGAGACCGGGCGGACCGTGCTGCTCCGCCGAGGCTCCCCGGAACTTGTGGGCACTCTTCGGGGCTGCTCGGACCTGTCCAGCGTGCCCCGGCGATGGGCGGCTTCGGGACGGGCTCGCCCAGGCTGCCTGCCTGCCTGCGGCGCAGGGACTCACTCACCCTTGCTCCACATTCTGGTCTTCACACAGATGGCTTCCCTGGGAGAACCAGGGTCTGTTTGGGGGGCTGCACTGGGAAAGGTGAATTCTTTCTTGGAGGAGGGAAGTGTGTGCCGTTCACGACGTAGAACGATCATGGATGAGCTTTGTAGTGCTCTCTCGTCACGGTGTCAGAAGTCGGGTTTCTCAGGGTTAGCACCGCAGTTTGGACACCCATCCCACTCCACCCCACCCACCCCCAAGACCAAACAAAACCAATAGGCCTCCTTACCCTAGGGAGGCGAGAGATACCATTCACACCAATTCGTCTTTTCCTTTTTTAAAATCTTCCCCACATTCCCACGGGATCCCACATTTCTTGCCTTCACATTATAGCACTGCGAAGGAGGAAGCCTAGACTTTCTAAGTCGGGGCTTTTGGAAAGTCAAGGAGAAAAACTGGACAGATCTGCCCAGAAATTCACATGCCCTTTGCTGATAGCTTTGTTAAGCAATTCACCATTCCCATGCACAAGTGTTATCTGAAAGCTCTGTTTTACTTTCTATGGTTCAAAGTTTTGAACTGTGCTGACAGGCTCCTCTTCTTTCTGATGTTAAAAAAAAGTTTTGCAAAATTTCTAATATTTCCCTTGGAGGCTTGGTATAAACCAGAATGTTGATGCTCCCTGCCCTAACTTGTGTGACCTTACATGAATTGCCACACCCTTGAGATGTCTTTCCTTCCCCCACCTTTTTTTTTAACACACTAAAAAGTTAAGCAAGTGCGTGGGTGGTGAACCACTTATATTTCATATATACGGTGGGATTAATGTATCTTGCATGTTTATAACAGTGAATTGAAAGTGCTTTATTCTGTATATAATAGGCAGATAAGTACTTTGCAAGGCCCATTGCTTTGAACGATCAGGTACTATTCTAACAATTCTAAATACTTGTTTATTTCAGATGACTCATAGTCCTTAAAATAACATTTGTTTCACTTTTTGATCTCATGTATCCCAGCTGGCCTTGAACTCAGATCCTACTCCTACTTCCCTTGTATAGAAATCCAGGAGTACCCAGCCATGCCTGTCCCTCTAAAAAATTAAATTATTATTGTAGGTGTAGGTGTGTGTTTGGGTACAAATGTTTATAGGGCAGTGGGCAGTTTTGTTTTTTGGTTCAGGATGGGGGAGATTTGTGGGCAGGATTTCTATATAGTCCTGGCTGTCCTGGAGCTTCCTATATAGACCAGGATGGCCTCACCTTCCGAGGCCTGTGCCACCATCCACAGCCAGTGGGTAACTTTGGGAGTCTGTTTTCTCTTTGCATCTTTACGTGGGTTCTGGAGATTAAACTCGAGGTGCTTTTACTGCTGAACCATTTCATCAGCCCTTGTTTTGTTTTGAAACGGCTTCAGCCTGTAGTCAAGGCTAGCCTTGAACTTTTAGGAGTCCTCCTAAATCAGCCTCCCTAGTGCTGGGATTCCAGAGGAGCTACCATACCTATCTTAAAACGGCCTGTACCTTGTGCAAAAGTGTGCCCTGGAGATTGAATTCAGCCAAATAATGTGTAAGGTTAAGTCCAACCATCTTTTAGAAAGTATAATTATTTGACAGGTTTGTGCAGACATGTAGTATATTTCTGTCACTCCCACCCCACCCCGATTGACCTCTCATTCTTTTACTGCTCTCACCAAACACCTTCTTCAGCTTAGAAAAGAAGAAAAGCATGACAGTGGGCACTCCTGCAAATGTAAATGGGGGGGGGGGGAGGCAAGATTGTTGGGAGGCCGTCCTGGGCTGAAAGTTAGACCCTGTGATAAGAAAAGACAAACAGCAGGGGACTGGAGAAATGGTGCTGTGGTTAAGAACACATACTGCTCTTCCGAGGATCTGGGTTTGATCCCAGCACCCACATCAGGCAGCTCACAGCTGCCTATGACCCCAGCTGCAGGAGCTCTCGCACCTCTGACCTTTGTGGGCACTTGTGTTCATGTGCACAAACCCTCTTCCCCATGCAACTAATAAAATAATAAAAGTTAAAAAAAGAAAACTATGTCTTTAACACAACTTTTTAAGTTCTCTCTCTCTTTCCTTCCTTTCTTTTGTGACAGTTTTCTGTATCCCAAGCTAATGTAGGGTCAGAAGACAACTTGGCAGGAGTCTGTCCTCTGCTTCCACCGTGTGGGTTCTGGGAATTGGTCAGGCGTGGCAGCAAGTGGCTTTATCTACCATGGAGCCATCTTGCCACACTGTCCAAAATATTTTTTTTTTGCATTTTTTCTTATGAAATATTTTAGGTATAAAATTGTAAACATTTAGTGTTTTCATTGCTTTCCCTCAGTTTTCAGACTTGAATTTGAGTCATATCTTATTCCAAATAAACGAAATTATCACCAAAGTTTTTTAAAAAATTTTATTAGATGTATTCATTTTTTTGTGCTTTTTTTCTTTTTATTTAGATTTTATTTATTTTATGTATGCATGTATGCATGTATGCCTTTATTCCAGGAGAGGGCATCAGATTCCACTATAGATGGTTGTGAGCCACCATGTGGTTGCTGGGAACTCAGGACCTCTGGAAGAGCAGCCTGTGCTCTTAACCGCTGAGCCATCTCTCCAGCCCATATTCATTTTTTTTCTACGTGAGTGTTTTGCCTGTAACTGTGTATGCGTACTCTTGTGTGTGCATGATGCCTGCAGAGGCAGAATGGGGAGCATCTCCTGGAACTGGAGTTAGGAATGGCTGTGAACCACCACATTGGTACTGGGACCCAAACCCAGGTCCTCTGCAAGAGCAGCAGATCTCCCTAGCCCCAACACCAAGAATTTTTTAGACAGGGTCTCCCTATATAGCCCTTGGCTGGTTTTGAACTTCGATCCTCCTATCTCAGTCTCTCAAGCGGCTGGAATTACAGGCTTGCACCACCCATCTCTGGGTCTTTTCAGGAGTTGGGTTTTATGTTAGGGACCAAATCCACTGTCCTTTGTATGCTGAGCTCTCACTGAGATACACTCCAGCCCTTTTTGTTGTTATTTGCTTTGTGTTTTTATGGTGCTGGGCATAGAGTACGGGTTTTCAGGCTTTTATGTGCTCTACTACTGAGCCACACTCCTAACCCAATAGTAACTGATATTTTTGTTGTTGTTTTTATGAGACAGGGAGTCACACTGTATATAGCTCAGGCTAGTCTGGAACTCACTGTGTAGCTCAGTCTGGCCTCAAATTAGTGGCAATATTGCTTCAGCCTTCTGAGTGCTAGGATTACAGCTGTGTTCCACTATGGCTGTCCGAGAGAAACTAATTGTCTAGCAGCCTCACTGAAATAGAATTAATTTACTATACTACCCAAGTTGTGTAATATAGTGACTTTTAGCACATTCAGAGTTGTGCAACCATTATTGGAGTTTTCATCACTTCTAAAAGAAACCCCATACCACTTGGCAGTGGTTCTTTTGTTATTTTTTGAGACGACTCTGTGTGTGGCCCAGGCTTGCACTTTGAGTACATTTGCCACAGTCGCATTGCTGGGAATATAGGTGTATGTTACCACGCTTGGCGGCAGCATCTTCTGTTCCTACTCCTTTCACTTCCTTACCACATAGAACCGCTGGTTTCCTTTTCTGGTTTTTAAGGCATACTCTCATTTTGTACTGACGGCTGGCCTTGAACTCTCTCTTAGCAGTCCTCTTGCCTCAGGCTCCCAAGTACTGGGATTGCAAGTGTGAGCCTCCACTTTATTCCTTTTTAAAGTTAAATGATAGTCCAGTGTGTACAGTGTGGGAGTGTGTGGACACATGCATTTTAGGGAACTTTTCTTCCCGTTCATTTTCACCCCTTCCTTTCCTACCCCTTTTAAGGCAAGGTCTTACTGTGTAGCCCTGGCTGGCTTGGAACTCACAGAAACAGCCTGCTTTTGCGTCCTGAGTGCACTACCACAGCAATTGTTACTGTGTTTTTTTGCAGGGAGGGGACTTAGATGGAACCTTCACGTGTAGACTGCATTGACCTCAAACTTGAGATTTTCCTTTCCTTCTCTCCTGATGTGCTGCTTATATGGGCGTGTCCTCTAATCCTAGCCAATATTTTTCCATTTTTCAGACAAATGTCTCTTTGTTTTGCTTTTCAAGACAAGGCTTCTCTGTGTGGCCCCGGCTGTCCTGGAACTCACTCTGTAGACCAGGCTGGCCTTAAACTCAGAGATCCACCTGCCTCTGCCTTCCCTGAGCACAGGGAATAAAGGTGTGCGCTACCATGCCTGGCTGGACAATGCCTTATGCTTACATCAGGTGACCCTCATACTTTATCTTCCCCAGGTAGGTAGACATGTAGGCTCATCCTTCAGTATTTAACTCATGTGACTTATTTAAAGATTACTTTTAGCCGGGGTGGTGGCGCATGCCTTTAATCCCAGCACTCGGGAGGCGGAGCCAGGTGGATCTCGGTGAGTTCGAGGCCAGCCTGGTCTACAGAGTGAGATCCAGGACAGGCACCAAAACTACACAGAGAAACCCTGTCTTGGGAAAAAAAAAAAAAAGATTATTTTTAATTATGAGTATCTGTGTGGGTGTGTGTATCCACCTGAGGAGGCAGAGGTGTTGAATTTCTGGGGGTTGCAATGCGAGCTGCCAGACATGGGTACTAGGAATTGAACTTGGATCCTCTGCAAAGTAGTACATGCTCTTAACTATTAAGCCACCTCTTGAGACACCCCCTTCTCTGATTTTTTAAATAAATTGAAAGTTG